TTTTTTTTTTTTTTTTTTTTTTTTTTTTTTTTTTTTTTTTTTTTTTTTTTTTTTTTCATTTAATTTTGATACGAGCGATTGGTTTCAATGGTGGCGCAGTATGTTGTTTTTTTTCCCCCATTGTTTTGTTTTAGTGGTTAGCAGAGGTGATGCGGCGCACACAGATAGCGAAATTACAATACGTGCAGATGGCGATGGCGAAGTTGGCGTGGGAGATTTGTATGGCAAACAAACAAAAACAAACAAACCAAAAAAAAAAAAGGTTAAAGAATGCAATTTTATTAGTAAATTATCGAGCCAGATGTGGTGGAATTATTATTAATTATTGCGTGATTATTTATTAATTCCATGGCAGTACGATTGTTACAATGCGCAAGTGCCTTACAAAGCCAAAAAATTTCAATACCTGACGAAGGTACAAAAATACAATGTTTTGTTGTTTTTATGAATATTAAGCAATTACTCGTACATGGTAACCATTTTAGTTTTGTGTTGGTCAGGTGTTGGAATTTTCAAAGGACAAATAACATCAAATACGACGTGTTTTAATAAATCATTTAGAAACGTTTTTTTTTTTTTTTTTTTTTTTTTTTTTCACCACTGTTTGGTGAATCGAGTGATAAAATTACCTAAACTCGGGCAAATCGTTGTCAAACTGGACACTGGTTTCGTGCAAAACGTTGAAATTGTCGTCTATGACGACAGCTTTTAACTGGAATTTTGAAAATTCATAAAAATTACTTTGGAAAATTGTAGAGCAACATCAGCAGCAGCAATGAGCAAGTGGGAAGTTTCGTAATATACTTAGAGTAAACACGATAAATGGTGACTATACACACATAGCTCGTTTATATGCACTAATATACTCTCGCTATACCGTCGCGGAACAAGATAAAATTAATACACCGCGATAACAGCGTAAATTTTTGTTTTTCGCGCCCTTTGTACGTCTTTGACTCATAAAAAATAGTGGAGTGTGGAACGCGGACCAAACACAAACGCGCACATCATCACTACACACATAAATTTTCTTTCATGTTTCACAGCTGTAAGTACAGTTTTTTATTTAAGTGTATACTATATATTATGACCGCGAGGGAATATACACATTATACAGGTACAGATATACTACTTTAAGGCTTGCGTTTACTTGGCTACCGACGACCGTCAAACACGACACGACAGTCTGACTCGCATCACTTTTAAAAACGACTTACTCGATTGATATAAACGATTATGCGTGTGTTGAACTATTTTATGTCAAATAAAAAAACTATGCGCAAGTAAAAATGTATACATGTATGTATAACAAGTGGGGCATGAAACAAAAAAAATAAAAAACAAAAAAATAAAGTATATACCCACCTGCTGTGTACTGAAATCGAGCCCCAGGTAAGTCGATTCTGAGGGTTCGCTCATCTTTCGACGGAAGTTGTGTATACTTGGTAAGTACCGATAAAAAAGTTAAAAGTCTCCGCGAACGGAGCAAACGGTATATAATTTGCTCTCGCTGTGTATACGCACTGTAACTTAACTTAAAGGTCTGAAATTTAAACTGCAGCGTCTACGTTGCTCTCTTTGCTCCCTCTCCTTCCTTGCCCCTCTCACTCTCTCTTTACGGGATAGGGTTATATATATATACATGCGCGACTGAGTTCGCCTAATCGCCTAATCGCGATGTAATATATAATATTCTCTTCGTTATTGGTAACAAAATCGACCATAGATGATGTCTATTACGTGACAATATTTGTCACATTAAAATATTATAATTATTACGGGACAAGTTTTCAGGATATTGTATTGGGTGTACGTGTGTATTTAACTTGTTACGCTTGTACATTGAAACGTTTGCATATACCGTATGTATCTATAACGGTACACTTATAAGTACCAAGAAGATCACAAAATATGTATTCTTTTTGGAGACCGTAGACCGTCCCGAAGATTTGTATATTTTTAATTCCATGTTCCATGCACACCACACATAATATGTTCTCGGATTATCCTTAAAATTAATATGTAGTAAAAAAAAAATATTTTTTAATGGTGTTTTTTTTTCAACCAAAACAAGTCATGTTGTGTGATTACGAATTTTCGGGAAAAATGGCTGTGACGCTAATACGTTTTTTTTAGTATTCCGATAACAGTTAAAGCAGTGTAATNTTTTTTTTTTTTTTTACTTCGTTGAGCACTTTAAGTTGCTAAACTGGATAAATTTATTTAATGCAAAGTGTTGACTAATATTATACCCATGGAAAAAGTCAACCACTCATTATGGAACACTCTTACTTTGACTTTTAAAAGTCGATACGTACACGTGCTCTAATGTATATGTACACGAGTACTGGTTTCAAGTTGATAAAAAGGGACACTTACCAAAAACTAAAAAAGACGTCTGTGAAGGTTTCAGCACACGTGAAGAGAGCAAAGACGATCCAGTACATCATCCACTTTACCTATGGGAAAACAAAGTTGGCCGAATAAAGCTTAACTGACGAAAGGGTAAACCTTCATAAAGTTATTTGAATAAAAAAAGTAAGAATACTGTGGTAAAAAAGTATAAAAAAAAAAAAAGCGTAGAGTACGGATTTAAAAAGAAGATTTAGGGTTTGTATGGTAAGAGCAAGGAGAAAAGTAGTTTGGGCTTGGGCAAGCTATGCTGGCGTTTGAAAGCCAAAAAAGCAAGGAAAGTTAAAAGGCTTAAGTAGGAGGGAGTGGAGAGAATAAATAGTGACCGAACAAAAACAGAGTACGATTGCTGTAGCCCGCTAAACTTAGGTACTCGAGGTAAAGGACAATGCAAGCATTGGAGTATATCACATATTTTTGACAGTCTAGTCAATAAAAATGTTGGAAACAGAAAAGGATTGTAAGGTATTGAAAATTGGGTTGATGGTAGCTGTCGGAGAAACAAAGTCCAATTTATAGAGATGAAAATAAGTTGTTCGGATATTGAAACACATCAAAGAGTGTATGGGATTGTTGCATCGAGTGAGAAGCGTGTGCGGGATTATACGCGTAATAAAGATGTATTGCGTTTGAACCCAAGTCCAGTTGAAAGTCACGATACAAGTTAGTCACGGAGATAAAACCATATAATGATTAACAATAATGATAATGATAATCAACATGGATCAGAACTCACGTATTCCTTGACATTCTTCGTCCTGACGGCCTTGTAGGAGGCATAGGCTGGATACAGGGTGCCAAAAACGAGTCTGAAAATCGGATAAACCAGAGCGTAAGTGAGGAAGCGAGGCATGACCAGCGCCAACAGTAGGGCGAGCAAGCCGACGTTCTCCAGGGTGAGCCTAATGGGTAGCCGCTCGAGGGACTCACGAGCCCAGACGATGGACTTGCGAGCTACGAGGGCAGCGCTCGCGCGCTCCAGCATCTTCATGCCCCCCATGTAGTTGCGATAGTGGTAGTAATAGCAGTGCTCGTCGTCGTTCACCACTACGCCACTCGGCGGCATCAACGGCAACACTTTCAAACTCATCCTTGCGGCCTCCTAACTATCATGGGCTTGGCTCGGGTGTGTAATGTGTATACACACGCGCATCCATGTGAATTTACGGTGTTGTTACTATTGTCATTGTATTATTACAAAACGTGTTCATCCATGACGTGCCAAATTTGGCTGTCTTGTGGTCGATGACGAGCCCCTAGAGCGTTTTTTTGGGAGAAAGTTGGCACTTTTCGACGGGCAAGACCAACGACTGTACGGCAGTTTTTTTACACAAAAGCCGCTGAAAAACGGTGATTTTTATCGAGGTGTTTCTTCATTTTTTTTTTTTTCATTCATACAAGGCAAAATAATTAGGGACCAAATTTTAATGATGAACCCTAACGTAGAAAAAAATTTTTAACTCATGTTCTTCGTGTCATAGATGAGCTTTCGGTTAACGAGGTTAATAGCGTACATGAGACACGTTATATTTATAATTATAGATACGTGGGTAGATCTATAGGCATATCTGTTTCTCGACGAGGCTTTTGTCTTTCACAGTCAAAGTCAATCAGCGTCGCATGCACGTTGATGAATGTGAAAAAAAAAAAAAAAAAAAAACTATACCTGTCTGCCACGATACATCCACACATCTTTTAGCACCACGTCTTTACGCGTGGCCTGCATCAGCACTGTTCACTGCCTCATGGCTTATTTCGGTAACTGAATGCTTGCGCAGTAGATTCATCGATCAGACTCGAAATGCTACGGTGTTATTTTTAATAAACGATAACTGTTTGAGATTGATTGATTAGCAGTTCTATTAATAATTTTTTTCCTCCATGTTATTTCAATAGAAAATTAGTAAAAATTAATCAGTACTACATTTTTGGGCTAAAATTTTTTTTTCCAACAATGTTCGTGTAAACATTAAGTTTATTTCGAATTGCCGACGGAAAAACTGTAGCCATGAGCTTTTCCTGCCCATGGTGTATATTTCTGGCACTTAAAACGCGTAATACGAAACTAACCATAAAACCCAAACGACTATCAAATGTTGTTTTATTTTTATCCGTGCCTTGTATGTCAAAAACTATCGCAGCATCGCCTACATACGATGCAAAACAAAACTCTACAAGTAGATCGAAAAATTTAAATACGTGGCGTCAGACAATTTAAAAAAAAAAGACGCTTTCATGTATCTGGATTGACAGTGTCATAATCGTTTGACATGTCAAGGTGTATAATTTGAAATATAAACGAATGTTAATGAAATTGTGCAGATCATATACATATTCTGAGCTTTGCAGAAATAACAATAACAAATAATAACATCACTCAAGTTTTTATTTTTTTTTAAATTGCTGTAATTGCTGTTTATAGGCTGATGATGAATTATAAATGAAAAAAATTTATAAGTGCACAAAAAAAAAAAAAAAAAAAAAAAAAAAAAAAAAATCAACGAACGAACGCACGCGAAGCAGGCGCGAAAAATCAAATTCTGTAAAAGGATAAAAACACACTGTACAAGTAAACACGTGAACGATCAAGCTGCGAAATTCGGGATGGACGACAAATGTACAATGAATGGTGAAAATAAGTATTTGCAAACCACATCGTGATCCGAAACCACCTGATGGAAGAAGTTATCTTGCACGACTACATTGTAACCATACCAAGATTAGGACGGGCACTTTGACAATATAGCCGAGTATAGCAATCCTCCCAGACCCTCAACTCTGTAAGTATGACGTTCAAGTATGGATGTATCGTGTTTAGTATCAATGTTACACGTAATTCGTTGCAAGAGCGAGTCGAGAGCATCCGAGCAAGCTTCCAGCCGAATTCACACTGAACACCGAGCCAGCGTCGACTCGCGTCTCTCGCGGCTATTTTCTCGCGCGCCCTACAGCGCTGCTTTACCTACTTTGATGTATATAGGAGCCAAACCCCCCATCTCTCTGCTGCAACAAGTGTGGCCGACGATGCAGCACCCCCCCCCTGGCCAAGCTTCGCGCGTGTATATATACCCTCTTATTGTATATATTTGGTTGCTCGACCTCATTTCCCATCGCTTCTTCACTCTTATCTCTTTGAAATTTTCCCTCTGCTCTACACATCACGCACTCTCTTCCTCCTGCAAGGGACGCAGGGCTCGCGGTTCGGCTCGCAGGGCTGATCTTTCGATATTTTTATCCCGCACATTTGGGTAAACCTTTTTTTCCGAGTTTTTTGTTTTGCTTTTTCAATCGTGGCGCGTGTGATAGAGTTTTCGAAACAATATTGTTTTCCCCCATGCGATGTATCTGCACAGACTAGCCAGAAAACAATGAAAATGACGTCGTCTTGTACATTATCGAGCAATCGTGGGGAGTCTTTTTTTACAAGTTACCAATTAATTAATAAAAGAAAAAGAAAACAAGCGTATACACACTAGGACTCGAACACTCGGTGACGATGGTAAGATGATGTCACGTTAGTTCCAGACGGAAGAAGAGCTTGCGGCTACCGAGAGTCAAATTAGAAAATCTACGAATAGGCACGTCGAGCGCACTGCGATCGTTACAATATTCCATGGTATAAGTACTATGTAGGTATGCGAGTAATTTGATCATCACGCCAATGTCGAGGTACGACAAAGGTGAATTCGAGCGTGTGCTTTGTAATCGACTGTTGCGCAACCGGCGCACAAATACTGTATACTCACCCATCCGTGTAGGTACAAACGCTATATATCATTGGTTACCCTTTCCACATCAAGTGCCCCGGCTTGGAGATAAGTATTTTTTTAATCATCGCACAACAGTTATGTACTATCATCCCCATAAGTACCATCATCTTTATTCCAAACGACGTGTCTATTAGCTACACGACATATCTGTTACAATAAATGATTTGAAAAAATTTACATTTGCATCCCTTACATGTATGTGTACATTCCATAACTCCGATCAAATAAATCATTTTGCTTCTTTGTCGGACACTCATTCTCTCGTCTCAACTATTGTATGCACGCAGCTATAACAATATGCATGTATATTATGCACTAGTGCGACCGAGTCAAGGGGAAGGTTAAGACGATTGATGTGACCGTGCGCACTTGTAAGTGGAACTTTTTTTTTTTTCTTTTATATTACATAATCATGTCACAGGCACGGCCAAGGAATTCTAGCAGTAGTGCTATCATGGGAAATATTTGCAGTATTGTAGTAGCTCCATTAAATTTTATAAAAAAAACTGCCATACCATCCAAATTATATGTAATTTTTTTTTGTCTCAGAATTCTTTACGATACTTCCCTTTTTTCAATTTTTCGTGCAAATTTTTCTACGAAAGAGAGGAAATGGATAAATTACAACAACGTTTTAAAATACCCAAGTATCGATTAAATTTCCAAAAAAGCATTATATATTTTTTTTTATGTTGTACGGTTTTTGGAGTATTCTTTTTTTTTTTTTTTTTTAACTTACTGTAAGAATAATAGTTAAAATAAACACGAGCGAGGTGTTCTCTAGAACAAGTAACGATGCCTACTACAGCGTGCAGAGCTCTTGGCAATGTGGATCATAAAACCGAGAGATAGAGATAAAGAGAGTGCAGATTATTTTGGGACGCGAGCATTCGCTGAGGATCATTGGCCCAAGAGTACAGAGGCTCGCGCTTCTCCAAGTAAAATGTACTGCCCGATGGCTGGTACAATACGTCGCTAGTTCCTTTTTTAATATCACACGCTGATTCATGCATTATTCTTGGTGCAGTTGTTTAATCTCAAGGATAAAAAGTATAAGAGTGCTAAAAAAAAAAAAATAGTGATTTTGTTTTCCATCAGATGTTCCAAGTGATTTCAGTGAGCGCGTTTAACTTACACACGCCAAAAACAAAGTCGAGCGAGCATAGTGATTGTCTTAGTCATGCACGGAACTGCGCGTCATATCGAGACAATCAAAAGTTTTAATCAAAAGATTAACTTGGTTTTGAGCACACGCGCACTGGAATAACTTTGCACATATTTTACAATAAAGTGGAATAGATAATTAGAATGTTATAACGATACTTTTACGGAGCTATACGATGCTTTGATGTAATTTTATTATTTGTACTATGACAGCGTCGAGAAAGCTAGACTTGCGTTAAAAAAAAAGCCACCTCAGGGCTACTTGTTTTTACACGACCAGCGAATGACTTATACTTATAAATGAGTTTGCTAATCAACAATTTTCTTCTTCTTATCCGTTCATATCTACCTGGCGTGTGTTTGTACAAATAAATATAACCCACGGCGTCCAAAACAAAGACAAGGTTAACAACCAACTATCGTCGATAAGATGAAGAAAAGAGTGATAATATGGTTTTTTTTTTATATACCGGTATAGCTGCCGTTATTCGAACTAATCAAATTATCACTTTAATTGTTTTGCGCGTAGTGTTTACATTCTACGAGTCCTCTTGTCACACGTGGATGTTAATTGTAAATGTAACAAATAGACTGTACACACTTAATCTGCAGCCACGCATTAATCTAGTTTGTTGCGTAGTAAAATTAGCGATCGTTTATTTTATTATTCGGGAAAAACGTGCAAGAATATTGTTAAACTATAATTCAAACGTTTCTCTTTATCATACAAAATGTATTAAGTAATGTAAATTCATGCAATAAATAATTAGGACTAATGTAGCCTAAATACAGTCGTATAAACTCAAGTATGTGATTTAAATGTCCATAAAAGTATGGATCAAACGGGATCAAGTACGTATTTGGGATTTTAAATAAAAATAATAACACCTTGCTAACAAATATGTACATAAGGGTATAATTTTATTGGTAAAAAAGATTTGCCACCGAGGTGCCAGTAAAATATTTTTTCGCAGTACTTTATCTAATTTTCACACGTCGTATAAATGGATTTTAAGTAATATTACACGGAGAAACAAATACAGCTTGAGAACGTATCACAAATCTACGCTCTCAATCTTTTGTGAGCAGGTACTAGACTAAAAAATCACACATGTTATAAATACTCGCTGTGCGCCCAATGGTATACCAACCACATTTGAGAACAATAAAAAGTTCTTTACATCTGATCAGAACAATGTGTTTCAATGGACTGCGTGTTAAATAATAAAAATTTGATGTCATGTAAATGTCCTATGTAAGTGTGTCACAGATAAAAAAATAGCCACTGTTCAAAAGTAAAACTGACATTTTATGAAAAAAAAAAAAATAAATAAATAAATAAATAACCATTTTGTTTCCTCATTCATACAATTAGGTTGTTTTGAATTTTTCCACTTTTTGTCAAATTTTTCTTTTTTATCTGCAGTTCACTGAAACACATTGTTTTGATGTAAGAAATTTTTGAGTGTGTACGGCGCTACTCCTGATACGGTGCATGGCATATGAGTAAATACACGGGCATTACGGTTGAAAAATTTTTTTCGCACACAATTAATATTACCATCACAATACCTCATAAGCCGATAAATGCAACGATTCTTTGATACTCGGTTCGAAAACATTTCTCCTGTAACGTAGAGGATTACATCAATTCTACACTTCCAATGGGCCAAACGAAAACTCGCCGAGCGATTAGATATCAATATTCTAGCTGTGGTGGTTGTTGGTCCGAATGTATGATTTTCAGAGGAGCGGGTAAAATGATAACGGTCACCGGACTAACGACCATCACGGTTTTGAAAACCGGCGCGTGAAAGTTGCGCGTGTAGTGCGCCGCGACGGGCATGACGAGGGTCTCTGCCGGACGGTTGGGGCGCACCGGGCACGTCATTTTCCTTCGGTCGAAAAAACGGGCTGCCTTGCTCGCGTATTCCCTGACTTTTTTCATAAAAGTCCCCTTTCCCCTTGCGCCGTCGAACGGTACTATATGATTTTTACAAAGGAAGTAGTTTTCTTTCCCGACATACAATGTGTGAGGAAATCGTTAAATGTGCTGCTTCCTTTCGTACTTTGTCCGTGACCGTTACAAAAGCTGCCCAGAGCTAATACCTACTCGAGTAGCTCTTTTCACTGTATAATCAACAAAAAAATTAAAATTTACTCGACCAACAAGCTCTGCAAGCTCGATGTTTCATCATACGAAAAGCTCGAAAAACAAAAAATAAACTTAATTTTAAGGTTGAATAATTCCTTCGATTCCCAACTCGAATTTTTAAATTCACACTTGTCTTTTTTGCGCAAGTTTTCGTAATGTTTTCTCTGCGCACAATCAACTAATCGCCATTTGCTGAGATTCGTACTCGCGTCGCTGATGCAGTCGATTGTTGACACCCAGGGAGTTCGTCGAATACCCGCCAAGTCACTAGCTGTTGTTGCTGTACTTTTGTTCGAGGAGCCGAAATGTTCACGTCCTGCGATGTGTTATTCAACCACTGCACGTTTTTCCTATTGATCGGCTCGGGTGGCACTCGAACTGTACAAAGTAAGGAAAGCTCTTTTGGAATTGTTTTCGATGCCGCTACTGCTTTTCTCGTTCTGTATCATTGAAGGTTTGAAAGAATATTTAGTTAGCTATGGTCTATTATACGATAAAGTAGTGAAAATCGGCGAGACAATGGAAATCAGTCATTCAACGATTGTCACGTTACTTGGCGTATTCTTGAATCTTATCGATGCAACCCTTTGTTCCCATTTTTTTTTTTTTTAGACCCGAGGTTGTACTGTCGAAAGATTCGATACACAAAGGCGTAATAATAATAACAAGTAAGAGAAAAAAGCACCTACGTTTTTTCAAGCAGTCCACATGGAGCGTGGAAATTCCCGGGCAGCAAGACCAATTGGGATTTCTGACTGGCGTCGCGCTCGTTTCGAAATTCAGACAATATCACAATTGCGTGGACATCGGAGAGCAACACAGC